TAATGCTACAAAAAAGTTAAAAAATTGTTTTTTATTAAGATAAGTACGAAAAATTTTTCCTCAAATAATTATTGTAAACAATATGTGTTACAAAATGTCATAAATGTCTTACAAATACATTAAAGGTAATGAAAATTTTATAAATTATAAAGAACTACATGCAAAATAGTTTCTTTTATTTTCTAATAGGTAGATATTTATTAATTCAAGCTAAATAATCATAAATAACAGGTAATTGAAAGTGACATTGTCATAAAATGTTAATTACAACTATATTAAAATAGTAATTATAATGTATAAGATAGTAGGTTACTTAAATATGGTTTAATAATAATTATAACATGCATTTTTGTTTTTTTGACAAGTTAATAGCTATATACAAAAGAATTGATAACTTCATTTGTTTTACTAAATTATGTAATGTTTTTAATATTCTCATTGATTACATGTCATTAGAACTAGATGAACATGTTATTTTTCAAGATATTTTCAATATTTAATATTAACTACAATATATAAACATAATTCTAAATATTTTAAAAGAAAATGTAAAATAATTCTATCGATAATTTAACATATCCGAAATATATTCAAGCATATCAATAGGTTAATGCACTATAGGTGTGTGTACATATGTGTGTACATGTGTATCTGTCGTGCACGCGCGCATGTGTATGCACATGTATGTATGCATATAGATATCTCTTAAGAACATAGATAACAATATTTTGCGTTATTTAAAAGATACACACATTAATTGACCGTGATACTAAGATAATTTGATAAAATTGGACATAACATATAAATTTGCAATAATTAAACTTTAACTGGTACAAAAATCTATGCAAATATATAATGAGGTTTGTTGCAAACATTTCATATACTTTTACAAGCCACCAATATCAAAGGAAATTGGAAAAAATCATACGAGGGTATGAAGTCTCACCTTGACTGTTGGTTTGTCCTTTCATCCGCTGCATTCCGTTGCATGGAAAAATATACAAAATTTAGAATGGCTGTCTTCAGTGAAAGGTATCTGCAGTATAGCGGTGTGGTAGCAAGTCAACACACTGACCTGATTTGAAACAGCACCTGCCAATCCAGTTGACATAACCTGTCACACACTCTGTCTGCCCTTCACAGACGCCAAATAGACGGCTGTGCCTTAATAAAATAGTTTTCAAATGCAATATCACGGTTACATACAACAGCGTTATACCACTCAAGTACGCGAACACTTTTTTCTGAAGAGAAGCTTCAACTTCAAAATCTGCAAACCTGAGACCTCCGCGTATTTTCCCGTAATGTCTTGCCGCGAGAGAGTCTCAGGAATCTTTTCCTGTTACACTTTGAAACAGATAAATTTGCACAAAATTCTCAATTCCGAATAATAACTACGTGACGTGCACTGACCTCTCGTATATATTAACAGATTGTCTAACATTCGCAACGATAAGATCCCTATGTAATTAATTCCTCAAAAGTTTTCACACAGTTTAGTAAAATTGACATACAAATTATTTTTGCATATAACTTTTACATTTATTATTATTTAGTGTTAATATTCTTTACTACTTCATGACAAAAATGTCTTTTTTATAACATTCACTAGTTTCTTACGACTACGATGGTTAAAGCTAGAGACACAATGTTGAATATGGTTGTCTTTAATGGTTCTAATTCATACAATCTAGCACAACATAATGTATTAGGAAATACAGAAAATGTTATAATTTTAATGTTTATGTAAATTGTATATAAAAAATTGCATACACAATGTTAGTATTTTAATCAAAATTTTTCTTAATGTTTCTATAATATTAATGTTAATACGCATAACTATGTTGCAATAGATCGCAAAATATTTAATAATTTTGCTAAATATTGTTGAATAAAATATGATAGAACGATGCTAATTATTGATTTATTATAATAAAAACGTAATTATAATGCTGCTAATTATCTAAATTTTGGTACTAAATAAAGCTACCTTAACACTATTGTCAAATTGTTGGTGAAATTGTTTTTAATTCTTTTTGTTTTGATTTGCAAACAAGTCAAATTTAAATTACGCATAATGATTTTATAATGATTATAAAGGCGTATATAATGTAATATTATTATTTACAATGATAAAAATGTAGTTGTTGCATAATTTTATAAAACAATAATTTCTTAATTTTAATATAATTGACAATTTTTTTAAAGATACGAACAAT